AATGGGATGTCATCTAATAATAATAAACACCTGACAAACAGTTACCGGTACTATATAATTTTGGGCTCGAACGGAGTCTATGTACACGTTTGTTACGCAACATTGGCCTATTTTTTTTAATTTTATTTATTTTAAGCCTTTCTGTTCGTTCTTCAGAGATTTCTAAGACAACATGATTAACTACGCGGTATTAAAAGACTTTCACAACATTTTAATATGTTTACCATACATCATTTAAAACCACGTAAATATAATACATATAGGTTATACCGGTATAATATACAGTAATTATGTATCTATACTGTAACAATTCATCATATTGAACCTTTACCCTATTGTTACAATTCCTTAATCAATCAACCAATCAATCGGTCGGTCAATCTGTCTAATTATAATAACATTATTATAAATTGGAAACTACCTATAATCGTTTCATATAATGTATTCATAGGCTTACTAAATTTAGGGCGGCATACACTTTATTATAAACCTAATATTGTGAGCATGTTGTCTTTGATTGTAAATGTTTCTCTTTCCTCATTAACACGTGTCCTTTATGATCTGCGAGAATGATAGTTAGCTGTGCATCCTGTAAAAATAATGAATGATAATGAAATACCGCTGGAAATTACTTCGCTAATTAATGATATTATTGTTATTCTTTATTAAATTTAATATACGGCCACCGGAGCTGTTAAAAAGATGTTCCACATGAGCGTATTCTTTGTATAAAGCTAATAGACCCGGATTCTGAGGTCTAAATACAGGAAAGTAATAAGCGTTGTAAAGGGGAAACAAGCTAAGGAGGTAATTTGTAAATAGCCTCGAGTTCCTCTCGTAACAAGCAGTCCGAAATGGCGGCTCTTATAGAATATCCTCTTTTCAACACTTACAATAATGCAACAAGTCGTCTGCTGAGAGACTGCCACAGTTTTGGCGCCAATATTGGTTTAATGAAATAAATATAACTCAGATAGAAATTGGCTCATTGAGTCATTCAACACCAATCGACAGTGATGTTTATATCTAACTATTATGCTAAAATTAATATTTATAGAAATGAAAAGGTAGAAAAATACCAGGAAATTAAATACTTAGTATTAATGATATGAAAGAAACTCAGCGTAGATTTTCAGATTGGTTGGAAAGATGTCTCTGAACTTTCGGTTACTTTTTCGCCAATGTATCGCTTTCACACACTGCGTGCGTGCGGACGACCTTTGTCTTGTGTATATCATTTACACTTTTATGTTATCAGTCGTATATACTTATCTGTTGAAACCAATCTGATAATTAATTGCCTTAATATCAAGTGATTAATTGTTGACAATTTTTTTTTCAGGTAAAAACATGGTTCCAGAACCGAAGAGCAAAATGGAGGCGATTAAAACAGGTAATGATTATATGTGTGCCTATAATTTTCATAATGTGTATTTTTTAACTAATAATTAAACAATTGTTGAATACTATAGGGTGAAAATAATACGTCTATAGTAACTATGGGCTCTGTCAGAATTTCAGTGTCATTTATATGAACAAGGAAATTGTCACAACAGCTGGCTGATGTCATTGAACATTAATTGATTCGCTAATTAATGGAATCCTTATTACATATGCCTATTAATAGGCCTATCTACTATATACAATTGAAGTAGAATGTTTTCAATTAATATCATAAAACCTTTTTTTTTTTATTTCGCCTTGTGCAGATGTTAAACCAACTACAACATATTCATGTCGATCTAAATTACTATCATACTTTGGTTTCCGCGTAAAAAAATTACGCATGCGCAGTAATAGAATATTTCAATGATTTCGCACCTTGAGATCTAAGTTCTAGCATCGGGCCTAGGAAGTGAAATCAACAGGCCTCGATGAACGCCAATTTCCGGCGTTTGGCAGTTTTAAACTTAACGGCGCCAGTAAGGAGGGTTTCGTGCAGAAGTTTTGGGGAAAGAAATTAAGCGATGTACGCAGTTGAATGACTCAGGCCGGTCTAAATAGAATGGCCAGTTCATGCTAAGTACTGGGGAGGATCGTTTTTATCTTACAGGATTATCAATTTACTTCCTAGAATTGGAACACTCGGATGTCGGAATATCGTATGACCTAAAAACATTTTAAACATTTAGGGAGTATGTTCCTACATAACGATAGGCATATTGATAAAAATGTCTGAAGTGCAACTTTAAAATCTATTGGATTTTCTTTTTAAAGAATGTGCGATATGAATGAAAATGAGATAATAACTATACGAATCTAGGAAGATGATATGCATATTATCATCAATATTCATCGTTTACTACCAATGATATAGCACCCCTAGTGAGCCAAACCAGAGATCTAACGTTTGCTTAATAAAAAATATCAAATATATAAGTCATTAACATCGATGAGATATTAAAACGGTTAAGTTTTCGCTAATCTATTTTCTTTTTCATCACAAAAAATATCTTTTACCAGTTACAGTAAGCAATAAATTCTCGTTTGCTTAACATCATGCAGTATAGGCCTATTAAGGTCTACATGTTGTGAATGTGACTTTTATATCTAAATCGCATTGTCATGGATGATGACAATTAATTAGACCATAAAAAATGAGTAAGAAAAGATTGTTGAAAACACAGATATGATTTAATTACTGTTTATCATGCAATAGCGTTATGAATAATCTTCCTTGTTAAAGCACCAGACACCAAGTCGGTCATGCCAATAACTCCAGCCGCCATTGCTCATGTCTGGAAACTCTTTGTTCTGCGCATGCTCCATAATAAATTCAATATCCAATAGAGAAAAACAGATTATCTTAGCAAATGCTAGTAATTAAAAAAACAATAGGTTATTATTATTATTATTATCATTATTATTATTATTATTATTAATTATAATGATAATAATTATTATCATATTTATCATCCTCATCCTATTCATATATCATCATCACCATTATAATCATCATCATCATCATCGTCGTAATTATAATTGCTACTATATTATTATTATTATTTGAATGGGTAGTTCTCCAATTATCTTGGCAGGCATTAAACCTCTCAACAATCGCCTCGATGTATCAACAAGTTGTTATTAACTTTCAACTAGGCCTGGTAAAGGGTTGAACACCATATCAATTAGCGTTCAAGTATCATTTGAAGAGCCCTTCATGTATAGTTCTCCGAGAAGAAATACTTAAATCTCCATGCCAAGTTATATTTGTTTTTCAATTGTATGTGGTTCAACAAAGGCGGGACATTATTTATGGTTTTCACATCTCTAAATTGCAGCCATTCAAATTTGTGTAACTACTACTTGACTTGTAATTTAATAGCACTTTTAATACAGTAATTCGTTTGTAATAATGGAGATATAACAATCGAAAGTCATAAAGTATACGCTAGTTAGTTGTTTGGCCATAAAACACTGCCGTATTTACAATTTGTCATCGTCTGATTATCTAAATTGCGGTATAATACAAACAATAGACAGACCGCTTAGAGTTCAGTTTGAGTTAAATTTATTCTTCTGCTAATTGGCGCGAAAAATATTTTCTTGTTCTAATGTTCAATTAAAAGCTAAAAACTTTTATATTATATAGGCCTATATAAAGTAAATTATTCAGTTATCAAACACAGACAATATTAGGCTCTCAGAAAATTATATACTGTACAACATTTTAAGTTCCACGTGCCAGAGACGTGGTAGTTATACTTTCGACCTGCACTCGTGACTAATTATCAACTTTATTATGTCACCAGTGGTAGTGTTTCTTCAAGAAGTTATGTGTAGGCCTACGTTCCATTTATATACACTGCACTTGATCTATTGGGTATGAAGGTCTATTAAACATAGACGGTAGTTACCGGGGGATATTTTAAATCATGGTTTTTGGTATTTTTCAGTAGGGTTTCAATATTTCAATATTTATCCATTTTTATCCATTTCTCGTTTACTGTATTTTGCAGGAAAGCCCAAATGGGAAAAGTGACGATTGTAAAGAAGATAAAGAAATGATCAAATCGTTGGACGACCCTCCAACCGACGAACTACTCGGAATGAACGTTACAGATGAAAACATGAACAGTGCTTGTAATTTTAATAACAACAACAACAACAGCAGCAATCGGCACATCTTAAGTGGGTGCCGGACAGAAGATATAGATATTGATGTGCTAAAAAATGATTGAACATTTGAAAATAACTATCAAACCAAAGCATCTTGGCTACGATACGAGTCGCATCACTGCTCCCGACATACCGGTATCACTCCGCAGTGAAAAAAGACAACTCGTCACCAAAATAACGCCATTGGACCAAATGAAATTTGAAGGTGTATCGGCATTCCATACAAAGTTGTAAAAAAATCGAAGAAAAACTTTGAAACAAGCTTGAATCGGTTTCTGCGCACGTGGACCATCATTCCATGTATAGAAACTAAAATATCGTAAGCAAAGAAGAAATCGTAGTACAGAAAATCGTTCAGTCTTTCGTTAGTTTAGGCGAAATAAAAAGGCATGATTCTCGTTCGTTTACCAGTCTATCTGTGCTTTTACTAAGTAAACTTCTCAGAAAATTCTGCAGATATATCATCCTTACAAAAAACATACTTACAATCAAAACATGGGCTACATATGTTTAGGCTATCGTTTTAAGGGACTTTAGTGACAATATTTTAGGGGCTGGAAAGGTCCTTTAGTGGCGGAAAGGTCCTTTAGTGTGGGTAGGCCTTGCCTAGCCTTGATCATGGATATGACTTGGTGTTTGTGGGGAAAAGAGAAAAATGTATCTCCATTTTCTTTATCAAATATCCCAGACGAGAAACATGCATATTTATTTGGTCTTTTTAGCTGCCTATTGTGTAATGAATTAGCAAGTTACATTTTATTTTGTTTCGGTTTGCAGGTGAGTATTACTCGTTGCAATGGCTTATTTATGTTTTAATTGATCGTGTACAAGTTGTAACCATAAAAATATCAATGAGACTCCGTATGTTGTTATCGTCAAATATATAGTCATGGTATTTGATATATCATTTAAAACAAATTACCAAATTCATTCTGTATTAGCAAATTAGATCAGTATTGAAGTTGAATTGTAGAGATAACAAACTCAATCACATGAAACGATTCCCCAAAAAGGGCAAAGTGCCAAAACGTTATTAGAGTTTATTCTGTTATCTACCGCCATACCAGTTTGACCTCCTGATCTGGTATTGTATGGAAAATCGTTTCGTCCTTAATGCCTCACTGAATAACATTTCCTTTACGGAAGTCTTTGGGAAGACGCGTTACAATACGTGGTCTATCATAGCCCCTGTTGTGGAAGGAAGATGTCTTTTTAATTACAGTACAATTTCCCTACACCAGCTCAGATATTCTCATGAGCTTTGCAAAGTTAAATTTAACCATAGGATTTATCTAGCGTATTTTTCTTACCACTTGTTGGCCTATTATGGTAGGCCTATTATAACGCATTAAACCTTTGGAACGTCAGGGGCCTATGGGGTACGGTAGGACTAGATCATAAAACATTACGAAATGATATCTATCTCCTATATTTTCCAAATGAGATTTATATTAGGCCTATATAACGTATAATTTTATTGTTTCATATTTTTAAAAAAATGCTATGCCAGTGTTAATTTTTAAAGTATATAACTTAAAAAAAACAATGTTTATCGTCACCATTTTCATCTTTTTGGACCGCCTCTTTTTTCTTATTTCACACAAACCAAAACACTCAGTAAATCAAAACATCCGAGTAAGAATTGGGTATCCACTTGATTTTAGGCCTGAAATACCCATGTTTGCGGGGAAAAAAATAGAACGAAAAAAGGCATACTTATTATTTTCATAAATCCCAAACAAGAAACATGTTTTTGTATTTGATTGGCCATAATCAGCTTGATTGTATAGCGCCCTCTTTGATATAGCGCTCCACGGATTTCGTCAAGTGAAATGAAACATTGGGCTTATTCGACTGATTCATTTCGTTGAGTACGAATTTTCGTTGAGTATTATTTTCATTCGCTGGTTCGTAAAATGAACTTCGTTGACAACGAACATTAACGTAACCAAAATGCGTTAATAAGCCTTAAGTTATGCACGTGACCAAAAAAAAAATGGCCAATTGGTCAGTTCAGCATCAGCATTTGCGTTAATATAATTTAGATTAAACCTCAGAAATTAAAAATTATAATATTTACCCACATTGAAGTCAAAAAATAACTATAGGCTAACAGAATTCAAAAACTGGATGAAAACATTTTTTTTTTTAACGAAAAACCCATACTGCCACAATCCGAAGCAGCCTTGATTAAGGAGCGTGTATTGCGGTAACTATGCAGCCATTTTGTTTTGTCGAGTATTTACCATTTTTCTGTTCGACTGGTCGTCTTCGTTAAGTAGGATCATACCACTGCTCAGGTAGGTGTGGTTTAACGAAGAACGAACAGTCGAATACGGCCATTCTACAACAGCTATAAGTTTCCTGATTGATTCGTTATAGAGTGTATGTATTAAGGGTCCGTTGCCGTTGGTGCTTTCATTGATGATGCCACTTTAGGTATAACAACGAAGGATATTGCTCGTTCTTTTAATGTCTATTGTTCAGTTAATTCCAGAATTATATGTCCTAATCTCTCCCTTTATCCCTTCTAAGACGACACCTATCAATCAGCAATCTATATTACTCTGTGAAATAATCCATTAAGAAAATATTTGAAGGGCAGATGTATGAAATTCATTTCTATGTTTTAGCCGAAAATTATAACATCGTGGTTTGCACATAGTTACTGTAGTTAGAAATTAAAATATTAAAGCTTATCAGCCAGGTGTTATTATTACAGTATTAGCGCCAATCCGCATTCGTTCCAGCCGTGGGCCTACTTTTTTTCCAATGTACTGACCTGTGTACGCTTATAATAGTAGGTTATTACATAATATGAACTTTCATTTACGCTTTACTTTTCCTAACCGATATTAAAACTCACGCCTTTAAAAATGATACAGAAATATTTTAAGAAACATCTTCCTTTTTGTTGTGTAGGCTTATGTTGTAAATATTTATTAATTTACTTGTTTCATATTTTTTTGATTATATTTGTTCTGCTGTACACTTTCTGTGTTGTGAAACAGTGCAGTATTGTATTTGCAATAAAATTGTACAGATTTGAACTATGTTTTGTTTGAATACTTTCGTCCAGGTCAAAGCAACTGCATTTTATGCATACTATTGACCCAATTTAACACACCTGAAGATGCAAAGATATTACTTATTTTACTTATCCTTCAATCAAACGATAACTATTAAAATAGAATTCATTGACGTACAGTAAATCATGATGAAAAAGAAGACACGTTAGCCCTACATCTGAGGAGGGGGTGATAATAGGTTAACCATATTAATAGCACTAATAATGGTAGGCCTTCATGATAATTATAATGATGATGATAGTGATGATGATGATAATAATAATAGGCTAATAACTAGCCTATATATTTTCAACCGAAACTTCCTTGTAAGATGGTGATACTTTTGTTACTAGAGATTTAAGCTACCAATCACGAACGATAATATCATACTACTTCAAATATATATTTAGGCCTATCACTAGAAAAGACTAAGCTTCAAATATCTATATGGACTACTGTATAGAGTATCAATACAACGATCGTCAAATGTGGTATTCACTAAAGATAAGAAATAATGTGTTTGTCTGATATATATTCGGAGGGTTGACGATATCAGCTGTCATTATAACGGTGATCTGTGATAAATTGGTAGCGATCTTAAGCGATGCCGACTATAGGAAGCTATACAAACGAAATTATCAAAGATATAGGCCTATACTATTATTGTTATCAATGATCACTGCAGCCTGTTTAAATATAGGTTTAGATCTGGTCTCAGTAAAAACGTTCCATGGATTATCTTTCGTACCAGAGAAGGGAAGAGAGAGAGAAAGAAAGAGAGGTTTGAAAATAAAATTATTCTGATTCTCAAAAATCCCCACTCATACCATGCTCATAAATAGGCCTAAATCTAAAAGTGGCTGTTTTCAGGGCCCTGTCAATCACTTTGATCGAGGCCTAGATAATACACGGCCTCCATGACTAAGCTGTTTGTATATTTGCAGTGTATTTAACATATCCATTCAAATTGTAACTGGTTCTGAAGAATAAACGTGTTCACACAAGCCACAAACTTCAATCACCATGTATGGATCGAGTATCGCCTTCGCCACTGTAAAGTTCTTAATAAAACGATACTTAATCACTGAGGATTGGCGGAATGATATCAGAAGCATGCGAGCTTGGTATCCCGAATAATCAATAAAGTTCATAGATCTATTAATGTTTACAGACACTGGAGAAACATAAATATCCACCAAATTAGTATTCAATCGCCGTCTAATATAGACCATTATTTTTTATCATGATAACGTCAATAATACCATGGAGGTATTATATAATACCTCCATGATAATACTGAAGATATTTAATCTATAATTATATATCAGGAAATTAAGAGATAATCTTTTTATCGAAACTGTAGACATAGTCACCTACTAAATAACAGCTTAGGGGCATACTGTACTGAGAATGTTAGAGGAAGGGAAAAAATACAATTAAACACTTTTATGTTTAAGTTGATTTTGAAGTCAGTGATCACCGTACTAGTATATTTTGATATAATAACATGATTACATTGGTTAAGGTACCATTTCTATAGCCTATTTAACTGCAACTGTTTTTGTAACTCGAACTGTATAACCACTTAAAAAGTATTGAAGAAAATATGACAGCTTTCTCCATTTTCGGTTTTTTATTCGTATTTCAATTGCTTATACAATTTTAGCATAGCTCTGATCAATATTATAGTCATAACGTAACATTAATTTTTGATTTAAAATAATAGAAATTCGTTGAAGTAGTTCCACAAACTTGTATTCACCAAAAATTAGGCCGATTTTTGAAATAATTTTATAACAACCTTGATTCTGTTCATTTTTTTGCCCGAAGGATCAACATCGTTAATGAGTAGCAGACGATTTGACTGGTTAAGTCTAGCTTGTCAATAAGTTAAACGCAAAAACCTAATAAGCGATTCTTTCTAAATACTTCAAATTCTACTGTCAATCTGTCCCAGTCTATTCCCCGTGGATTTCCGCTGGAAGAGTTTAATGAAGTCATATAATTCTTAAGCAAACTTACATAGCAATAAGCGTATGATGCATCAAATAAAATTAGGCCTAAATGACCTTACATAGGATTCCTGCATTAACAGTGTATATCATACTATTGAAAAGTACCACACGTGACCCAGATGATAAAATGTAATTGGTAAGGGTAACGTATATAGGCCTTTGGGTGAAGATGTACTATTTTGGTATTGTAACAGCAGACGTGGTTCTATCAACTCATGGACTAATATGTCACGATAATGTCTCATCATTCTAGGTCTGTCCTGAACGTTCAGTAATGTAGGCCAAAGCCAGATAATAATATCCATTTGCTGAATAATAATAATAATACTGTAATAATAATAATAATAATAATAATAATAATAATAATAATAATAATAATAATGATAATGATAATAATAATAATAATAATAATAACATTAATAAT